GGCCACCCTATCCTAGCCATATTATTCACATATCGAGTCCCAACAGCAACAGTGTAGGGATGAGCACGACAATGTAGGTGAGCATGAAGGATGGACAAGCTTCGGGGATTTTAGATTGGGAACACAACAAAATACTAACATTCAGGGATTTGGGAATAGTCAGACGCCTGTTAATATCGATGATTCGTTTTTAGATCGAATCAATGAATTTTTAAACGAATTCAATCAATGGCACCCGCGTGACTAAGAAGAACAATAACGTCGTCTATCATTTTATTTTTAGATCATATGTTACTAATTTTATGCTTTATTGTAGTCCATGTATGTTGATATACTTATTCCATGATATATGTTGATCCTTTTGTGTGATGTAAATTAAATGCTGAATGGCGGTTCATGCAGGGAAAAAACATATCAATATTCACATATTCATTCAAAAACATGAAAATTCTTAATGGAGTACCCTCATTTCTTATTGAATTCCTAAAAAAAAATATTTATAATGAATTTTAATAATTTTTTCGGATTTGTTTTAAGCTTTATTTTGACCGATTCACCCGATTCCCGATCCGGATCGTCGATTCGCCGATCCGGATCGGTTTTTTGGGTGCCCGATCCGGGTCACCAATCCGTTTTTTAAACCATTGGCTACGAGTGTTGGTACATCAGGAGGCAGGCCGACTTTGGTAGAGGCTAGAGTAGTATTGTGGGCCAGTTGCACGTTGGTACCTCAATAGACAAGGTAAATTAGGAAGTAGCTAGCTCCCCTGAGGTCAAGCCTTGTATGCAGTGTGGCAGCCAACAGTGGGTCAGCAGAGGTAAAAGTGACCTTCCAGAGAGGGCTTTCTATTACAACCCCAACTTCAGAAGATAAGAACTTGGGCATGACTATCTTCTGTAGGCACTGCTATTATGAGATGTTGATTGATTATGGAAAAGACTGTAGTGGCCTTCCCTGAGGAGAGAAAGCGTCCGTGAAGGAATTGGCAGCCAAAGAATAGTTGCTGTTAAGTAGAGGTTCTTTAGTGGAAAGGCGAGAGGGTCTTCAAGAGATTAAGTGTTGGGCAGTACTGTCTGCGATGAGTTCTGCATCTTCAAAAGGCTAGCTGCTTTTCAGTGGGTGGACCAAAGGGAAGTTGTAGAGATGATGGGATTGAAGATTTCTTTTGGTAAATGTTGTACTCCTTTTCAATGTTTAAAAAACGGACCGCCCTACACCTAGGCGCCCAAAAAAAATTTTTGCACACTTGGACCTGGACGGCCCAACACGGGCGACTGTACCTGAGTGGGCGCCCAGCATAGTTTACGAATTTTTTTGTTTAACTTCGCCCAAAAGGGCAAAGGGGGTCATTTTGACCCCCAAGTTTGTATAAAATAAGTTTAGGGGTTTATTTTGCATCCCCAAACTGAAAAAAAAACAAGAAACCCTCAATCTTAAACTTATTTATGAGAATCTAAAGCAATTGCGGAGAATCGAAAGTACTTCTTGTGGATTGAAAAAGTTTGTTTCTGATTGAAATTATTTTTAGGGTGCTATTGGTGGTATTAGAAGACTTTTAAGTTGATTTGTAGCTCGACTGAGATAGCCAACATCGAAGATCAGAGATTGGGTAGAAAAGGTCAGTCTGTAATCTTTATTTGAGATTTATTTTTTCAATTTGAGATGTCTTCTGCGGGGTCTACTAGGGGTGGAGATCTGGGATGGAAATATTGTGTTAACCCTGATAAGAATGACAGAAATAAAATTATATGCAATTTCTGTGGACACGTTTGTAATGCCGGCATAAATAGATTTAAGAAACATCTTACCGGTATTAGAGGTGATGTCGCCCCATATAAGAAAGTCCCAGATCTTGTAAAGAAAGTAATTTTGGAGTACATTGAAGCTGTGAAGAGTAAAAAAGGTTGCAAAAAACAAGGATATAATAGAATTGAAGTCAAGGGTTTATATTTTTTATGATAATATTGAAACTGAAGAAGAGGATGATGAAGAGGGGGAACAAGAGGTAGCCATGGTTGGTACTCAGAGCTCTAAGACCTAAGAGGGCTTTTGGGTCTAAGAAGGCTCGTACGAGAGGGCCTATAGATAGTTTCTTTACACTTAACCTTGGGACAGTAATTGAGAAAGGCAAGAGAAAGGGGAAAAAACAGGTGACAATTGAAATAGGTTTAAAAAAGAAGATAGAGCCCTGGTGATTCAGTAAATTGCTCGGTGGTTTTGCCATGCGGGCATTTCTTTTAACACTGCTATTTTGAATAGCTACCATACAATGTTGGAAGCAATTGGGCAATTTGGGCCAGGTTTGAAAGCTCCAATTCCTTATGAGATTGGAGAGCCACTACTGAAGAAAGAAGTCGAGTACACTAATGAATATCTCAAGATTCATAAGGAGGGATGGGCTAAATTTGGGGTTTCTTTGATGACAGATATGTGGAGTGATAGGAGGAAGAGGCGTAACATGAATTTATTAGTAAATTGTCCCACGGGTACAGTTTTTTTACGCTCGTTGCTTCCATTGATGTTCATGATGCGCATTATATATTTTCTTTCATTGATAAGGGTATTGAGGAGGTTGGGGAGGAACATGTAATTCAAGTGGTCACAGATAATGCTGCTCCCAATCTAGCTGCAGGTCATTTCCTTCGACAAAAGAGGGTTCGCATATTTTGGATTCCTTGTGCTGCACATTGCGTAGATCTTATGCTTGAGGCAATTGGTGAATTGCCTCCTATTAAAGGAATTATTTTTAAGGCTAAGGAGATTACAATCTTCATATACAGTCACATAATTACCCTTAGCATGATGCACAAGTTTACAAAAAAGAAAGAGCTGGTGAGGCCTAGGGTCACTAGATTTGCCACTGCCTACCTTAGTCTACAGAGCATGTATAAGAGGAGGATCGCATTAAGGTCTATGTTCGCTTCAGAGGAGTGGAGTAGGTGTAAATGGTTTAGAGATGCCAAGGGAAAGAAGACACGAGATATTATTCTTTCGAAATATTTTTGGCGTGGGGTGAAGCATGCGATATTAGTATTTCTTCCCTTAGTGAAGGTCTTGCGTTTGGTTGATGCTGATAAGCCCTCCATGGGCGTTATATATGATGCAATGGAAAGGTCTAACAATGAGATTGTAGAGAATTTGGGCGATGATGCAGCAAAGTATGCCCCAATTTGGGAGATTATAAATAATAAATGGGATAGGCAGCTCCATAGACCATTGCATGCAGCGGGGTACTACTTGAACCCCAAATTCTTTTATGCAGATGCAGATATTGAGTCAAAAGGGATAATTATGGATGGTTTTAATGAGTGCCTTGAGAAATTAGTTCCTGATCCAAATATCCAGGATAAGATATCAATTGAAGAGTTAATTTCGTACAAGTGTTCTTTGATGTCATTTGGGAAAGATATGGCATTAAGGCAGAGAAACAAAGATGAACCAGGTAATATTCTTTTAACTTATGTACTTTTGTTTTATAAAATATAAATTTATAAATTTTCTTTCAAGTTCTGATAATGTTAAATACCTAAATTAATTATAAAGGTTGCCCTCATATTGCAGCCCAATGGTGGAGACAACATGGGAGTAACGCTCCAAACCTCCAGAAGATGGCTATGCGGATCTTGAGTTTGACAACTACCTCTTCTGGTTATGAGCGCAATTGGAGTTCGTTTGAGATGGTATTTTACTATTTTACTATTTTAAAGGAATAAAATTTTATATGCTTTTTTTGTTTATAAGTTCATATTCATTTTGTAATATAGATTCATAAAAGGTAAGTAGATCATAGACCTATAGTAGTTACTTATGCATTATTTTTTCTTACAGGTGCATACAAAGAGAAGAAATAGGCTTGAGCAAAGGAAGCTCAATGACTTGAGGAGAAGAAAAACCAGCCAAAAAAGGGTCCTGTCTCTTCGAAAGACATGGAGAATGCTTCAAATTGGTTAGTTAGTGACCCTGGTACTGAGGAGGTCTTCCCTGGGGAAGGTTTGGCATGGGAAATGGTCGATGAGGCTTTAGGGCAAGCTTTTGATCCTAGTAGTGCCACTTGAGCAACTTCTTTTGCTGGTACTTCACGGAGGGAGATAGAGGAAGAGGAGGCAGATTCAGAAGGATCTCTGGAAGAAGAGGAATATGTTGAAGAGGGTGATGATTCTGATGATGACAACCTCGATTCTGATGCAGATGAAAGCAATGAAGATGATGATTCTGATTCTTATTGATGTCTTGATTGTCTTATCTCTTCTTTTGAAGTAACTTTAATACTTTATTGTACCATCTTGGTTTGGGCTTTAAACATTTGGAGTTTGAACGATTTTTATTTAGTTATGTGGTTTGTAATTTTTTTGTCTTTTTGGACTATGTCGTTGTGTGGTTTACTGGTTTTTCTATAGTTGTGGAAGTTAGTTTGTTGATGACTTGGAGAGTTGGAGACTTGGAATCTTGGATGTTATTGTGGTTTATTTTATGGATATGTAATATGGCAATATGGACAATTTATGAATTTGAGAGTTGGAGACCTTATAGTAGCCTATTAGACTTTTAAATGTTTTGTATGGTTCAAATTTTGGAATAAATTACAAATTTTGACACAAACATATGCATATCTGTGCATTTGGATAACAAATATATAAAAAAAACTAAGAATTTGCACCGCAGGGCGCTCGAGGTTCTGGGCGCCCGTCTAGGCACTGGGCGCCAGGCAGGTCGCCTAGGGGTCGCCTAGCATTTTTTGAAACCTTGCTCCTTTTTTTTTGTGGGGGCAGGTAAGGGATAGAAGTTACGAGAGTATGAGTGGATGAAGTATAGAGATAGAGAGGGTGGGGGAAGCTTATAAAGGCAAGAAGAAAGAGAAACTGGGACAATGTTTAGATGGGGGGGAATAGAGGAGATAGGATATGATTGTAAAATAGGATAGGTAAGATGTAGGGATTAGAGAGAAAGAGAATGTGACTGTTGAAAAGAAAGAGAACGAGGAGATGGGGGGATAGGAGAGGAAAGAAAGTGTGGTTGCAAAAAAGAGAGATAGAGAGAGGTGAAGCTAGGTGAGAAAGCAGAGGAGGAAATAGAAACAGAAGAGAGATAGAGAAGGGGGGAGAAAGGGATGGGGGAATTAAGTCACATAATTGCGTACCTTTGTTGTCGTGACCGAACAAGGATCTTCATCTCCTAATAGAACGGAAAGGAATTTTGCAGCAAACTTAATGTTCTTTCTTTGTGATTGAGCAGCCATAGCTACTGTAATGGGCAATGACATCCGCTAGGATGGTGGACATGGGAGGAGGATTGAGAGAGAAAAGTGTATGGGGGGAGATATGAAAAGAACAATGGAAAAGATGTGACAGAGAGAGAAAACCTGGTGGTGAGTTTACCTTGGTTAAAAAAAGGTTCCTTAGGAGATGGTAGAGATGGGTTTAGAGGCTGAGTGTAAAGAAGAATAGCAAGGTCGCTAATGAGAATAGTAAAATGGGGTCCAAGAATATATACTTACAAAAATAACCAAGTCCTTTTTTCTTTTTTTTTTCCTCTTCAACTCCTTTTCCTTCCTTTCCCAGAGAAATCACAGTATGTTTACAAGTCAAGGATTGCTCCCTCCCTGGCCAGTTTGTCTGCCTTCGCGTTAGCCTCTCTATATATGTGGGTGTCAGACACTTGAGGAAGGGAATTACATAAGTAAAAAATATGATAAAAAATGGAAGAAAATCTCCATTGAGGTCATCGTTGTTGTGTGACCCAGCTAATGATGTTGAGAGAATCTGATTCCACTTGAATGCCTTGTGCTGCTGGTGCTAACAGAAGCACCTTGTTGAGGCCCACCAGTAGGGCCTTAGCCTCCGCATAGGTTGAGTGTTGGTGTCCTATAAAGTTTGAGAAGGTCTAGACGGTAGACGAGTGGTCCGACCAGATTCCTCCAATGCCCGAAGGGCCAGGGTTACCTAAAGAGGAATCACCTATATTGAGTTTGAGAAATCCAGGGGGGAGGAGGAGACCAGTGAAGTCTCAGTCTGTTTATTTGGGGTGCTAGGTGTAAAACACTATCCTAGTTGTTAAGGAAGTGAGAAATAGGTAGGGCTACAAATATGGGAATAGACTTCGCCCAGAAAGCTATAACGTGGCCCAGAAAGCTATAAGTGCAGTTAGGGAATAAAAAACAACTGCTATAGTTTTTTGTATGCTTCTGAAGGTTTTGGAATTTCTTTCAAACTACAAACTTCAAAAGAGACCTGCTACAACAATATGCCATAGCTTCCTACCCTTTTGGGGAAAATGGTGGTGCGAAATATATTTGGAAAAACTGGGTCAGGTTACCTGGGGTGACCCATTGAAGGTCAAATAGCTTGAGAAGAGAGGCCAAAAGGCATTAAGCCACTTCATAGTGGAGGAAAAGATGTGGTATAGTTTCCTCTTCTGGAGATAGAGGATGCAGCGATTGGGAAAGGCAAATCCCTTTTTTTGGAGTTGGTCCAGGATAAGGATTCTGCCCTACAGTCACACCCATATGAATGCTTGGACTTTGTGGGGTATGGATAGAGACCAAGAGAGGTTAATTAAGGGCTTGGGGTCTAGGTTGGAAAGAAGAGACTTGTAGAAGGAAGCTACCGAGAATTCACCTGAGGGGGAAGGGGGCCAAATCAGTGAGTTTGGTCTCGAGAGAGTACTATAACAATTTCCTAGAGATTGTAGCATAGAGAGGAGGGTGTTGGCTTCTTGATTGTTAAGATCACGTCTGAAGAGTGGAGTCCAGACCAAATTGGTGCCTGAGAAAGTCGCATAATCTGTGATGGTTTCGAGCTAATGGGAGCAGAGGGGGATAGGTTTGAGCAAGAGGTGAGGATCCAAACTAGGTATTGTTCGAAAATTTAATTCTCAGGCCATTACCCAGGTTGAATCTAGTTATGTTGGTGAAGTGTAATTTAGAGGATGAATTGCTTATCCAAGCACCTGAGGATCTGTGCATGGGGGATCGAGGCAGCCAATCGACCCTGTTCATTCCATATTTGGCTTGAATAACTTCTTTCCAAAGTAGGGGGTGGGGGGAAGAAACTTTCCACCACCATTTACCCAAAAGGGCTCGGTTCATGATAATGAGGTTCTTAATTCCTAGACCCCCTAGATTTTTGAGTTGCAGACTTTATCTCAAGCTACTAGATTAATTTCTTAATGTCATATACCCCTGACCAGAGAAAATCACGCATGAGTTTTTCCAGTGTTTTGAATAACTGAGATGGAGATTTGGAAGAGGGACATGCAATAGATAGGAATGCTAGCTAAGGTTGCACGAATGAGGGTGATTCTACCCCCAAACGAAAGGTGTCTGCCTTTCTAGGGGGCAAATTTCCAAGTGAATCTTTGTATGAGATTATTCCACATGTTTTTCTTCGGTTTTCCTAGGTAAAGAGGGAGGCTCAGATAAGAGGATGGTGTGGTTTCTGTGGAGCAACCTAGGCAAGAGGCCAAGCTAGTAAGAGAGGCGGAGTCAACATGAATTCCCATCATCTTAGTCTTCGAAAGATTTACTTTCATTCCAGTGAGTAACTTAATGGTTCTCAGAGAGGGCTGAGTCAACATGAATTCCCTTCAACTTAGTCTTGGAAAGATTTACTTTCATTCCAGTGAGTAACTTAAAGGTTCTCAATGAACGCCATAGACAATCTACCAGGGTCGAATTGACACCACAGAAGATGAGGGTATCATCTGCATAGAGTAAGTGGGAAATTCTGGGACCTGAGGGGGAGGATCTGAAGCCCAAAAGGGAGCCACTATCATGGCCTCGGTCCCTTCTTCGGAACTCGATCCTGTGGTTCCTCTAAGGGATCTTACAGCAAGTTGGGTTTAGAGAAATAGGGATCTCACTCCTTACAAGATGGGAAATTGATCTACATGCTTGTAGGATCCCTCCAAGGAGAGGACATACTATTAATGTACTCTTTAGAATTATAAATTTATTTCTTCAAAATACGTTGAATTGTGGTGCATATCATATTGTGGTAAGCCACAATTATGGTTTTAAAAAACTGCAATTTCATATTATAGTATGCCAATTTATGATATTATTGAATTGTAGGTTTGTATTGTTCTAGTAAATTGGAATATTATACTATGGCATTGATAACAAGCTAAGGTGTAGAAGATGGATCGAGCGGGCATTGATTTGATCCTAATTGTATTATATACTATTAATTGATTTCGTTTTATGCATAGTTAAGCTAAGATCCTCAAGTCAAAACCTCCATCCCAGTATCTTAGTCTCGGAAAGATTAGTCTAGGAAAGATTTACTTTCATTCCAGTGAGTAACTCAAAGGTTCTCAATGAATTCCATAGACAATCTACCTGCGTTGGATTGGCATCACATAAGATGAGGGTATCATCTGCATAGAGTAAGTGGGAAATCGTGGGACCAGAGGGGGAGGATCTGAAGCCCGAATGGGAGCCACTATCATGGCCTCTGTCCCTTCTTAGGAACTCGATCCTGCGGTTTCTCTAAGGGACCTTAGAGGAAGCTGGGTTTAGAGAAATAGGGATCTCACTCCTTACAAGATGGGAAATTGGTCTACATGCTTGTAGGATCCCTCCAAGGAGAGGACATACTATTAATGTACTCTTTAGTATTATAGATTTATTTCTTCAGAATACGTTAAATTGTGGTGCATATCATATTGTGGCTTACCACAATTATGGCATTAAAAAACTACAATTTAATATCATAGTATGCCAATTTATGATACTATTGAATTGTATGTTTGTATTGTTCTAGCAAATTGGAATATTATACTATGGCATTGATAACAAGCTAAGGTGTAGACGATGGATCAAGCGGGCATTGGCTCGATCCTAATTGTATTATATACTATTAATTGATCTCGTTTTATGCATAATTGAGCTAAGATCATCCAAGTCAAAACCTCCATCCCAGTGGCATGAAGTATCGCATTGAGGTATCCTAGGATCTAGCTTCTTAACTGGTCGAAGTAAGATTATAAAATTTATGGGGATTAAAAAAAAAAAAAAATGGTCATTTAAAAAATTACAAATAGGTAATGAAGTAAAGATAATTGTTACATTGACTCTTTAATATATGGAGTTCTTATTAAGCGAAAAAATAAATCTAGGTAAATCATACACATCAAATTGCATAGATATAACACAAAATTGAAAAAACATATTAAACATGCAATTATTAAATAAGCAATTGTTAAACTAATTTTTTTTTATGGGGATTAAAGTTATGGTTTATGAATCATACAAGTAAACTCATGTTTAAAATTAAAAACAAGGTACAAAACAATATTCATTCAATTTGGGGGCAATGGACTTTTTATTAAATTATTTTCCAAAAGACCCAAAGTATAGATCAAAATGGAAAAATAATAATCCAAATAGACAAAAACATATCAAATATATATCACAAAGTATCACACAAAAAGTACAAATAGCAAAGAATAACATTATTAGACATTTGTCATCATCATCATAGCCTTTTCCCAATTAATTGGGAACATCAT